AAAAAAATAAACAGAGAGCTCGTTTGACCCATATTTCTGAATGCATTATTGTCTCGCGAGATCTGATGCGAGGTTTTGGCTGTCGTGGACGGTCATTTTAATAATGCAAATGAGGGGCGCGTTGATTGGTGGCAGGAAGGAGGGGGCTTGACACCGCAGGTAACTTCAGCATATCATTCCAAAAAGAGATCATGGCGCAAGTTGTTAATGAACCCGACCTGGCCGCGACCTACGGGATTCAACCGTATATGTTTGAGCCAGACTCTGAACCAGAGCTGGAAACGGAAGAGGAACAACAGTCAATTGAAGGACGTCCACATCAACATGTCTCTGAATGGTAAAGACAATTTTTTTGTCTGAGACATACATTAACATCAGTAACGAGCTAAAACGTTTTTTGCTATTTTCTCCCACATAAGTTTAGCTTTAATTTAATGTAGATTACATTAACGGAGATGTAGTCTACTTTATTTTCAGCTTACAGTGGTTATAGAGATTAACGTTTGCTATAATGTGTTGTTTTTGCCTTTTTTGACGTTGTGGTTTTTTAGATATTTAATAATTTTCATCTGCAGACATGTAACGTTATGTTTTTCTTTATGTTTATTAATTCTTGACTGTTTTTTAAATGTATCTATCCTTATCTATTATATAAAAAAATCAATACAATGATATGTTGTCATTGTTATATTGTATACGATTATATTAAATAATAGCTGTATCATTTTCTAGTCTGTTTAAAGTGGAAAGATGTGGCTAGCATTCGTAGAGTCCATTCCCCGTGTTTAGGCCTACATCACATACATTAACCGCATTAGTAGTTAGCTGCTATTTAGGGCCTTTACATAGTCAACGCGAGCAACGCGAGCAAGCAACGCGAGCTACGCGCTCCTTTCCATAGTACACAAGCGTCACCGGCGATGCGTGAAATGCAATACACCGATCGCGCAGCAGGGGGTAGTAGAGTCTAGAGTCGGGTCACGTAATATTCAGATCAAAATGGCAACTGAAGAGGAGTGCATATTGCTGATTTTACATCGGCGGCAACAAAGGATGTATACGAACAAGCTCGCATAACTTTTCCTCTTCGCCCGCCATTGTATTCAAATCTTCTTCTTCTGTAAACATAATAATATACCTTTTTATGTACATTACTTGCAATGTCGCCCCCACCGACAACGCATAGTATTGCGTGCATCGGCGCGTCGCGTATCAAAAACTAGGATGACACATTTGGCTACGCATCGACGCATAATGGCGGCCGAAGCGTAGCGATGTGTAGCCTTGCGCACGCGTATGCGTACCGATGCGTTGACTATGTAAGGGCCCTTACACATAATAAAAACACAGTCTTACCGTTTCAAATTCAGGCAAGTCCCTGATTGTTGGAATGGCACCTTTTTCCAAACGTAGCTTCGATGCCAACTTCGCCTGATATTGCCCCAAATTTGTAAAAGATTCTTTTGTGAAATGTTTAGCGCAGACACCTAACGTTGAGCAAGTTGAGATGGTTGTTGGAACAGCGTCATTGAAAATAAATTTCATCCACTTGTCCCTTGTAGTTTGGTCAGTTTTGGGTAAAGAAAAAACATTAGAATGTGGATTATGACAGTCAACCACAGAGCAACTCACGTGTGCACTACGTTTCTGCATCTTTCTTGACTGAATATGATGGGGAGAGGGGCAGGGCGGGCCTCCTCTGCGGTGTCCATATATGGTATATCCGGCCCCGTCTTGACGTCAAGTCGGGGGAGAAATTGAAATCTCGTATTTGAGTGCGCGTGCACGTTGGCTAGTTTAAGAACCCTGGGGTAAACAAACGCTTCACTTTTGAATATCGGCATCCCGGCCAATGTATAATCGTTAGTCAATCATAACATACATTGATTCTCATGGAAAAGTGAAAATTGCACATTATGACTCCTTTAATAACCTAACATGCAAGGGGGTGAAAGATGTGCATGAGATCTGCGCTCTTTCTGCAGGCTGTGTGTGGGCCTGTGACGAGTAAAGTTGGGTTTGAGGTAATCCAGTGCACAGAGATGAGAGAAGGAAGATGAAGAGCGAAACATGAGGCTTCACGCTCTCACACCACGGCTGTGTCTGAAATCACACACTCTCTAGTAGGTACTTATTCTGAACAAGTACTCACCTTGTGACCGTTTAAAAAATATGTTATATATAGTATGAATGTGTGTATAAAATCCAGACGTACTATGTCCACCATGTTGTCACTGTGTCACGTGACCAACGCTTTCCTGCCATTCATAACTCCTCTCCCAGTGGCCTCATGGGATAGTAACGTGTCCATCGTATGCACACTTCAGAATCTCACTGAAAGTAGTAGGTCATCCAGGGCTTTCTGTTTTTCAATTACTATGAATTTGGACACACTGCTTTTTTCACATACTGTTTTTTGCATACTTCATAGTGGGGAAGTGTGTGATTTCAGACGCAGCCCTAGCCTGAGCTGCTTCATGAGGATAAAACAACCAGGGAATCGAAGGCCTGTTTCACTCCAGCATAAGTACAACAGCACACTCACAGCGTTTCTTACGTTAAGTGTTTCCTTTAATAACTGCTTCCTTTAAAGCTGCAGTCCGGCGTTTTTCCTCTTTGTCGCCATCTCTGTTCGAAATCTGCAATTGCAGTCATTCGTGGAATTATCAATTTTACGTGAGTTGTACTTCAACACCCTCGGCACGGCACAGCGCGGATGAACACAGTGTTTGAGGAGACTGTGAGGCTGTCAGTCACCGCGTCAGTGTGGATACTGGCATTCAGATTATTATTTTTGGAAGTATGACCAACAAAAGAATTTACACCGGAAAATGTCATCTGAACTAGTAAGTAACATCCACTTTTGTTCTGGTTCTGACATTGCAGTAAATCGCGCTGATTAAATCTAACAATTGCTTATACGCAAAACCGTGCAAATTATACTTTGTTCTCAACAATGTAAGCAAGCATGTAATGTCCTTCCGATATTATCCTTGTTTTCGCATGGGCCGGTTGCAGTCTCGTTTTTTCTGTAGCCACTCCGAAGTCTGAACAAAGTCTTTTGCATTTTACAGCGGGTGAATCTGTTGTCACTGGTGATCGTCGTTTGAACAGCCGCGTCACAGACCAGCACAAGACGAACAATTGTGGTTAAAAAGTATATACATTTTTATTCTTTTTAGAAAATGAGCGATGGTTTCGCTAGATAAGACCCTATTCCTCAGCTGGGATCGTGCAGAGCCCTTTGAAACTGCATTGATCTTGGATGGCATTGGGGTGAGTAAATTATCAGGAAATTTTCATTTTGAGGTGAACTAATCCTTTAAGTAATTAAAACTACATGGAAACCAAACTCTAAAGTTAAACTATTGCAATAAACTGCTTAAATCAGTTGATATGGTCATTCAGTCACACAAAGCTGTTGTAAGGCTTCAGGAATGTAGCACACAAGTTATATAAATTACTTTTATAGTACGTTTAAGGCCTGTTTATTCCAATGATGATAACTACACTCACCTAAAGGATTATTAGGAACATCATACTAATACTGTGTTTGACACCCTTTCGCCTTCAGAACTGCCTTAATTCTACGTGGCATTGATTCAACAAGGTGCTGAAAGCATTCTTTAGAAATGTTGGCCCATATTGATAGGATAGCATCTTGCAGTTGATGGAGATTTGTGGGATGCACATCCAGGGCACGAAGCTCCCGTTCCACCACATCCCAAAGATGCTCTATTGGGTTGAGATCTGGTGACTGTGGGGGCCATTTTAGTACAGTGAACTCATTGTCATGTTCAAGAAACCAATTTGAAATGATTCGAGCTTTGTGACATGGTGCATTATCCTGCTGGAAGTAGCCATCAGAGGATGGTGGCCATAAAGGGATGGACATGGTCAGAAACAATGCTCAGGTAGGCCGTGGCATTTAAACGATGCCCAATTGGCACTAAGGGGCCTAAAGTGTGCCAAGAAAACATCCCCCACACCATTACACCACCACCACCAGCCTGCACAGTGGTAACAAGGCATGATGGTTCCATGTTCTCATTCTGTTTACGCCAAATTCTGACTCTACCATCTGAATGTCTCAACAGAAATCGAGACTCATCAGACCAGGCAACATTTTTCCAGTCTTCAAATGTCCAATTTTGGTGAGCTCTTGCAAATTGTAGCCTCTTTTCCCTATTTGTAGTGGAGATGAGTGGTACCCGGTGGGGTCTTCTGCTGTTGTAGCCCATCCGCCTCAAGGTTGTGCGTGTTGTGGCTTCACAAATGCTTTGCTGCATACCTCGGTTGTAACGAGTGGTTATTTCAGTCAAAGTTGCTCTTCTATCAGCTTGAATCAGTCGGCCCATTCTCCTCTGACCTCTAGCATCAACAAGGCATTTTCTCCCACAGGACTGCCACATACTGGATGTTTTTCCCTTTTCACACCATTCTTTGTAAACCCTAGAAATGGTTGTGCGTGAAAATCCCAGTAACTGAGCAGATTGTGAAATACTCAGACCGGCCCGTCTGGCACCAACAACCATGCCACGCTCAAAATTGCTTAAATCTCCTTTCTTTCCCATTCTGACATTCAGTTTGGAGTTCAGGAGATTGTCTTGACCAGGACCACACCCCTAAATGCATTGAAGCAACTGCCATGTGATTGGTTGATTAGATAATTGCATTAATGAGAAATTGAACAGGTGTTCCTAATAATCCTTTAGGTGAGTGTATAACGATAAATATATAGTTGTAAAAATTGTCCACAATTTTTGTGGGGAAAAAAAAGTTCACACCAAAATTTAAAACGAAAACAGCACAGAGGAACGATATTGTTTGAATCACTTTCAGAATGATTATTTTTTTCTGATGAACAATAAAAACATTGACATTAAGAATCCATCCTGCTTTAAAGAGCATAAACATTTAAAGCGGCAGAAGATAAACTGCAGCATGTGATTATAATGAACAGAACGTTATTGTCCGCTGGTGTGGACGCTAATATAGTAAACGTTATAGTTATCGTTCTTAGTGTGAACGGGCCTTAAGGGTGCTTTTGTGTTCTTCTGATGCCATGGACCAGTACAATTCTTCAAAATATCTTCTTTTGTGTTCCACAGAAGAAAGAAAGTCGTACTTGGAACAACACAAGTGTGAGTAAACGACAGAACTATCACTATTCATGATGGGTGCCGTCGATTCCCTGCGTGAAGTGAAACAGGCCCAAGACTTGAGGAAAAATCCATGATGATGAAGTATGAACTAGAGAGATCTGTGATGTACCGTATGCGATGCATGCATTATCATGGGGGTTTTACCAAGGCACAGAGTACAGCGCTGGAGTGGATCAGCATCGCCAAGAGCCTCGCGGCTCCACAAACCCCTGATCCTGGAATAAATACATCAGCTAAAACAAGAAAGGCAAAAAATACAGTCAAATCCTGCATTAGTCATTCCTTCACATGACATATGCAGTACAGAACCGAGCTCCAGTGCTCAGGAAATGTGCTCATTCAACATCATCAAAGCTACAAAGGGAAAAATACACTATTATACCTTATAAACGGTGGCAATCCTCCTTAAACAGTCCCTGCTGAAAGTAACTTACACACACGATAGAGTCTCGAAGTTAGCATGCTAGCCCTAAAGTAGCTTCCTGGGCGTAAACACATCCCTAAGATTCCCCACATCACAAGTCATTGTTAGATAAATGTGCAGTCTTTGCACTGTGGAGACGAATGCATACGCAAACTCATTCGCAGTCGCCTGAAGTGCTCAGAGACGGAGCAAAAGCCCGATAGCGGGCGCTAGTGAGGTAATGGCTGCTGGTTTGAAGCGTGCAGCAGATCCAAACTCCTTCCGTCTGCATAACTGCGGGTCAGAGAGAAGCGTGTGGTAAAATCAGGCAGAGTGTCCCCAGGTTAGCTCACGGGGCCGCCGTCGCTAGTGTCCGCGCAGCCGTTTGCTGTGACCTCAGCGTCACGCGGGCTTCCAGGGCCGGGGTTTTCCTGGCTGCGCTGGTGTCTGTGGTGTAGCTCTTCCCATTTGGCACGATTGGCCTTGATCAAATCAACCATCGGCTGTAGTTTAGGGTTTAATTTGGCAAAAGTCTGGAGAGAGAGAGAGAGAGAGAGAGAGAGAGAGAGAGAGAGAGAGAGAGAGAGAGAGAGAGTACGAGTTGATTTTCGTTATGATTAATTAGTGTTTAGAATTGAAAATAGTAGGTGTTAAAGGTACAATATGTAAGAATTTTGTAATAAAATATCAAAAAATCACTTGCACAGTGTGATATATTTCCTGCAGTTGTGTACTTACAATATCCCAAAAGTCTCCAAAGATTTTTTATTTCAGAGAAATTCCCATTTTAAATAAGTGGCCGTCCCGGAAAAAAATGTCGCCTGTCAATGACGCAATATCCGCGCTATCCTCGGTTTCCGTTCATACTGCCATAGCCATGACGTAACCATGGCGACAGACGTGGACAACTGCGTAGTGCGTAACGTTTAGCGGCACGCGGTTCTTGTTTCTTTCAAACATAGACCATGGCAAGCAGACTTTGGGACAAACAAGGAGAACTAAAATGAGGATCAATATCAGCGTGGCGTTTTTGAGATGCCGAGAGCTAGCGTCCGCGGCTAACTTGGACTCGACAGAGCTTCACGAGTCACGACTTGAAAGCTTTATTAGACAGGTGAGCAAATGTACATAAAACAAATCAATGTTATATAACGTTAGCTCAACATGATGAAATGTTAGAATATGCTCGGTATGTTATTCTAATGTTGATCTAGCTTAACGTTACTGCTAGTTTCGTATAGCAAACGAACGAACACGTAGTATAACATTATAACTTTCAACACACATTTAAATGCCGTTTAGTGTGATAGTGTAACGTTAGACCAAGTGAAGCAGCGCTGCGTTCCCTCACACGTTTAATTCGTCTAATAAACTGACCTGTGTGAGTAATCCAGCACTCGCGGGTAGTTCGGTAGAATTAAATGTCTTAATTCCTTTATATCCGCGGGACTCGCGTGTGATATCTGTCTCTTTAGCAATCGCGCCCGGCTTCATACCACTTTAATGTTAAAAAACATGAATGTTTGCACTCATCCATAAACATTATTAGATCCATCAGCTTGACAGCAAGTCCCATCATTCAGCTCATCACTGCATCATCAACCTACGCCTTTGTTATTGTTGGAAACTGCGCCCTCTTGTGGTGAAAAAACCCAACATATTGTGCCTTTAAGGCCCTTAACGAAGGAAATTCGAGAGTACGAGTTGATTTTCGTTATGATTAGTTAGTGTTTAGAATTGAAAATAGTAGGTGTTAAGGCCCTTAACGAAGGAAATTTTCGCACGTTGAAAAATAAATACAACCTCACGTTGAGTCAATCACGCTTGCACACTGCCTCCGAAACTTTCGTCCGTCATAAAAAAAAATCAGATTGTGTTCGATTTTCTGCGTTTTTTGCATCCGTAGCAAGCAGTTTGAATGGTGTTTTGACAATTCAGAGCCACCGAATACGAAAAAACGCATATGAATATTTCGGACTCCGTGTGCAAGGACCTTTACTCTCCTACTTTCACAGGTGAAGTTAAACGGTGAGTTCAGAAGAGGAAATTCTGTCATCATTTACTCTCCCTCATGTCGGAGACTTTCTTCAGAACAAGATTGAAGATATTTTTTATGAAATCTGAGAGATTTCTGTCCCTCCATTGACAGATATGCAAGTGACACTTTGACACTACAACACGTTCATAAAGAGATCGTTAAACTAATTCATTTGAATAAAGCGGTTTAGTCCACATTTTCTGAAGAGATTCGTTTGCTTTATATGATGAACAGAACATGCTTGAGCTTCTGTTTACCACAACTGATGTGTGAGTTGATGAATGTTTATATGTGAATAAAAGCTTAAATTCAATTTATTCATCATATAAAGCGATTGAGTCTCTTTAGAAAATTTGGACTAAACCGCTCAATTAATATGGAATAGTTTTTAAGATCTCTTTATAAACGTCTTGAAGCATCAAATTGGTAGTTGTGTAGCTGTAAATGGAGAGATTTCATAAAAAATATAAATATGTTCTGAAGATGAACGAAAGTCTTACGGGTTTGGAAAGACATGAAGGTGAGTAAAGGATGACAGAATTGACATTTTTGGGTGAACAAACCCTTTATTTTTTTATTGTTTCTGCTTCTTCACTTGTATTTTGATCCAGAGATTCTGTACTCTTGTTAGAAGATGCGCAATGGCGCCCCCTATCGTATAACAGTGAGGAATAGTAAAGGATCAGTGTAAAACGAGAGGAACAAGAGAGAGAGTACGGAGGGTCAAGGCAAAAATACTCCCACACATTCCCTGCTCTCCCACACACACACTGAAGAAATCTGCCCAGCTTCTCATTTAATTCATCTATATAATTCATACGCAGTTGATTTTTAATAGTTTGACTGGTTGGTCAGGCTTAAAGGTGGAAAAAGGCAGGATTCACTTCAGAGATTTAATTAGTGGCAAGATGATTAGTTTGATAAGACAAGCTCCGTTTTTAGTGTTAGTGATTTGATTCAAATACACACCCTTATTATTCAATCAATTCACATCTGTGGACCAGAATATCAGAGGCATTGGTCTGGACTCTTTTGACTTGAGCAAGTAAGTATCCCTCTAAAACACCCTAGCAACCACTTAGCAAAGCAATGCCATAGCAACCAGCCAGGAAACCCTAGCAACTGCATATGAAAACACCTTAACAACCACATTTAGCAACACACCATGGCATTGGGGAAGAGAGTTTATTCACAGGCTAATTTTCAATAGAAATTAGTTTTGATGTTGTACTTCACTTGGTTATCAAGCTGATAGTTTGTTCTCTCTCTCTCTCTCATTGAGAATCAAGGGTAATAGAGGCATTAGAGCTTGTAAGTGTGTACGACGTTGTGTTGCGCTGGTCTCTGAGATCTACGCTGATACACTGATGTTTCTGTTATTACAAGCAGAAGACTGAAGAGAGGGCATGTTTGAGGAAAATGTGGATTGTGAATATTATATATATAAAGCCTACTCTATTATATTTGTATCAATTTCTAAGGCGTCTAAATGATCCACACTCAATCTCCTCCAGTCCTTCTGTCTCGGACTGATAGTTCACACTGTTGTATCCAGTAAATTCAGTATAATTGTACAGACGTACACAGAGTCTTTCTGTGTCAAATCTGCACTGTTTTTATCAAGGAAACGCAAGAATAACTTCGAAATTGTTAGTAATATTTACTGGACCGAACTAGCCTGGTTAAAACCAGATCATTCTCAGTTGTAACTGAGTTATGGTCTGGCAAAGCGTCATAGACAAATCATTTCCAGAGGGGCGTCACCAACGGACGTCGCGGATAGACCTAAACCCAATCAGAGCGATGAAGGAGATGACGTATGCAGAGCGGCGGAGACACATCTCCGAGTGTTGTTCTTTGCTCGGTTTTTAACTAAAAGGAAACGTTCAAATCGCTTAAAACAGACGCGATAGCTGATTGGAACGAGTGATGTTCGACGGCGGCATCCATCTTTGTAATGTAGGCTACAAAATCTGCTTCAAAATCCCAGCGCTGTCGTCATCGTGTAAAGCCCGCCCCAACGCTTCTGATTGGTGCCTCGATTTCGGCGGATTGGAAATGGGCTTGAATGAGCTCTTTGCCAGACTAACTTTCAGAGCAAATCTAAATTTGCCGGAAGGTGTCTGGGTTTTCCCAGGCTAGGACCAAACATCATTTATTAGAAAAATCATGAGTGTCAAATATGGTTTATTTGTTAATCTCTGAATCATCATTGTATTGCACTGGAGTAAAGCACCGACTGAAGAAAAGACGACATAAACCAGTTTTACCAGTGATTATTATGGGAAATGTCTGGTCGTTTGGGAATAAAATGGAGGAGCTTACGGCACTAACAAGGATGCAACGGGAGTATCGTGAATGCAGTTTTATGTGTTTTACTGAGACTTGGTTGAGTGAGAGAACGCCGGACTCGCTTGCAACATTGGATTGTCTTCATCTTGGGCGGAGTGATTAGCTCGCAGAGAAGTGGTGAGGAGCAGAGAGTTCGCTCAGAGTTGCGCTAATCACTCCGCCCAAGTAGCATCGCTTCGCCTTCTGAGAATATAGTTCCCAGTATGTATACGGTTAAAAGATGCCTGTGTCTCATATGACCTTGTTATTTGTACACACTGTGACTATACAAATCACAACATGTAAATAGGAAAATGTTGGCGTTATTTTGTCACTTATTGGGAACAGTATGCTAGCTGGAGCCATTTACTTCCAGTCTTTGTGCTAAGCTAGGCTAGCGGTGGGTGCGTCAGACAGAGTTACGGCACGCACGGAGATGAGAAGGGTATGTATGGACTTATATAACTCAAAGTCCCAAAAAGTCGGCGTGTTCCTTTAAGACCTTAAGATCGTGTACTTTATCACAGGTTGTGGAGGGGGACTGTTGGAAAAGGAGAAGAATAAGTTTATGAAGGATTCAGGTTGTGTTGTGGGGATTGTGTTACCCACCTTAAATGAGATATTGCAGGATAGAATGATTGGGAAATTGTTTTTTATGATGAATCATGATTGTCATCCCCTTAATGACACAATTCGAGCCCTTGTGCGTTCTCACAGCTCAAGATTACAAGATTACACAACCCCGCTGTTACAAGGAGCGTTTTAGAGAGTCTTTCTTTCCAACCGCAATTAGATAGTACAACCGACTATATTCTAGGATTACTTGGTTGTATATAATCATAATGCTTTGCGAAATTGATACTGGAGAATAAGGGTGTATTCACACCAGGAAAGTCCGATAGTTCACTTGCTTTGGTCCGGACCAAATAATTTTTTTTTTTTTTTTTTTGGTACGGTTCGCTTTCACACTGCTCTTTTTGCAAGTGAACCAAAATTTGTAAACAAAACCACACGTGTGCTAAGGTCGTCCATTCATTGGACAAGGATTCTCAAGTAGGGAAATCAGGAAGTGCAAAAAAGGTTCAGCATGGAGATATTTCGTACTGCAATATTTGTTATTTTACTAATTTTGTGTTATTCTGTACAAACGCAATATGAAGAAACTGCGCAGAAGACGGATAAGGCATAAAGTTTTGATTCATTGAGAGGGGCTATGTTCACACATTCAAATAATGAGATTCTTATTGTATATACTGCTAACAAGTGCTGTCAATGTTAACGCTGCGATTAAGTTTGTCCAGTTTAATGCAGCGTCATCCTTGTATTGTAACTATCGTTATGAACTGCAAAAGCTTTTTTTGCATCTATGCGCGATTAGACTAAAGAGAACGCGCTGTATGTGAATGTCCTGATGCACACACTCATTCATTCATTCATTCCAATGACGCACACACACGACGCGCAGAAAGATTCGCAACAGTATCGTGTGGCCAGACAGCGCGCCGGAATGGAATTCTCTTTTGCTCTTGAACAACAATAACACAAACCATTATGCCAAAATCTCCGACTACGGAAGCCTGTTAACTCAAAGGCGCAGTGCTTTCTTGCAATTGGGTCGGTTCATGTTCACACCGTAAACGAACCGTACCAGAGTTCGTTCGGAAGCGTACCGAGACCACCTCTTCAGCTGGGTCTCGGTTCGGTTGTTTGGTCCGCACCCGAGTTCGATTGCTGTATTCACACCTGCCCAAAAGGTCCGCACCAAGGGGGGAAACGAACTAGAGTTCGATTCAATCGAACCAAACAAGGCAGGTGTGAATACACCCTTAGTCTTGTTGCGAATGTTGTTTAAAGGGTAACTAAACACTAAACCAACTTTTTTAAATTAATGATCTGTAAGACTGGGGCTTTATTAGTGCTGGTCATTGATTCGAGTAACTTTTTTGACATTTGGGTATAAAGTGTTTTAATTCTACAATATATGGTGTAAAAACGTCTGAGTGCTGCCCTCTTCAGGTTGAACGGTGGCTACTGCAGTTAAATTTTCCTATTGGATGTTTGCGGTAGTTCGTGACGGTGGCGGTGAGAGCTGACGTAAGCAGGTTTCAGCTTACCACGCCCTTGGTACGAGCTACCACGCCCATGGCAGTATAAAAACCATCTTGTTTCGTCAAAACCACTGTAGCGAGTCAGGAGTTGGAATTGCGAGTTTTGAAAACGATCAGGATAGAGTATCCGTTCATCCCCTCTATCTCCGCCCACTTTTCCAGCATTTTTCAAATATTGCCAGTGGGTGGAGTCAGGCTCTGACTAGGGGTTTAGTTACCCTTTAAGTTTTCTATTTAGTCATTTTATTGTTGTGCTGCTGTGACATGTCAATTTCCCCCTGGGGATTAATAAAGTTTATCAAATCAAATCAATCATCATTGTTTGCACTGCATTGTATGTTTTAAAACTACAGAACTTTTGATTAGAAAACTAAGCATTTAAATATTATCTTACTAAGGCATATTATTACCAGATATAAAGTGATGACTGATATTTATATCATTTTATAGAAGTAGTCACTATACTGTTTAAAGATCTCATTGTTTTTCTCCTCCATATTCTCACTACAT